GAGAAGTGGCAGTGAGAATCATGTCTGCCTTTAATGAAAAAAAAGAAAAGAGAAATAGCAGGGCCTCAGAGATGGCTCTGAAGTTAGAGTACTTGTTTTGAGTCCCAGCACCCACATGGTGGCTCACAAACATCCATAACTACAGTTGCAGGGAATCCAGTGCCCTCTTCTCACCTTCAGGGGCACGTAGCATGCGTATTGTACATGGGCGTCCATGAAGGCAAAACACTTATATATCTGAAATAATATAAATAAAACTAAGGGAAAATTTGACTTATTAAAAAAAGTGCATGCTAGTCTTACAGAGACTTGAATTCAGTTCCCAGCACCTGCATCAAGCAACTGGCATGGGCCTGTAGCTGCAGCTCTGGGATCTGTCATTCTCTTGTGGCCTCCATGTGTGTGCTCATATATATGTACCCTCCCTCCGCACACGGTACACGTAAGATGATGTCTAGAGTCGGCATAGTGCACGGGCCTTTAATTCCAGAAAAAGCAGGAAGATCTCTGTGAGCTCAAGGCTGTCCTGGTTTTCTAGAGAGTTCCAGGCCAATCAGGTCTACATAGTGAGGTCCTGTCATAAAATAAAATGAAGCCGGGCATTATGGCGCACGCTCTTAATTCCAGCACTGGGAGGCAGAGGCAGGCGGATCTCAGTGATTTCGGGACCAGCCTGGTCTACAAAGCAAGTTCCAGTGCAGCCAGAGCTGTGAACACAGAGAAACCTGTTGAAAAACCAAAAAAATTAAAATTAAAATAAATCTTTAAAAAAACATCAAAAGAATAGCTGATTTTTGATTCCCGCTGAAGATGGAACCCAGTGTCTCACACATGCTAGACAAGTGCTCTATCACTGAACCACCCCACATTTTTATTTTACTAGTACAGGGTTTTACTAAGTTGCTCAGGCTGGTTCTGAACTTGTGATCCTCCTATCTCAGCCTCCCCAGTGCAGGCAATGTTGTCTTTTTTGCTCCATGTCCTGAGAAGCTTAGAAGGCTAAGGAGTGGACACAGGGTGCCCCAAAGCTGGGTAGTGCTGAGCCCACACCCCTTTGGAACCTTCCTCCTAGAGCTGCGACCCTTTATACAGCTCCTCATATTGTGCTGACCCCAACCATAAAATTATTTGTGCTTCATAACTGTAACTTTGCTCTTGTTACTGTAAGTATCTGTGTTTACAGAAGGTCTTAATCGACCCCTGTAAAAGGGTTGTTTGACCCCAAAGGGTTGTGCCCATAGGTTGAGAACCATCAAAGATGCTTTGACGGCACTAAAGAGACTGGTTTGTACACGGTAGCCTGGAGTCTCTGAGCTTGAGTTTCTTTATCTGTCAAACATAACCCCAGCCTCTTATCTCCTCAGCTCCTCCAGCCCTGGCAGGAGAATTATCTTCATCTTTGCAGATGAGGACACTGTGATCTGCAGAGGTGACATTGTTTCCCAGTGAATTACAGAATAAAGTCAGAACAGACATCTGTCTAACCACAGATTATGAACTTTTGGGGGGATGCCAGGGATTGAGCCCAAAGTCTCATACATAGTTAGCATGGGCTCTATCACTGAAGTACATCTCCAGAGCACCAAAACTTTTCTGAAGTTCAGTATCCACAGGGGATTGATCCCTGGGTTGGGTACCAAAATCCACAGATGCTCAAGTTGTCTATATACATAGTGTATAGTACTTGCACACAGCCCACATATCTGCATGATAAAACCAACACAGGTTTTCTGCAAGAGTGGTACATGCTCTAAACCCCTGTGCCATCTCTCCAGCCCCCAGGAACTGTTTCTTGCTAACCTAAGTACAATATACGTTTGCAGTCGATGCAGCCATTATTGATACTATATGAACTGGCTTATCACTAGGGTGCATCCAGATCTCTTTCAAGTGGGGGTCCCTTCCATTGGTGCCAATTGTGTTTTTATTTATGTTTGAGACAGGGTATCTCTGTGTAGCCCTCGATGTCCTGGAACTCATTATGTAGACCAGGCTGGCCTTGAACTCACTGAGATCCACCTGCCTCTGCCTCCTGAGTGCTGGGACTAAAGGCATATACCACCATAGCTGGCTGGTGCCAGCCATTTTTAATCTCTTTACTGAATGATAGCATACATGTGAATGTTCACAGTGAAGACACCTGTAGGTTCACTCAGAGGAATGACCTGAAGCTCATCCAAATCCAAAAACTTCCTTTCAGGTGCTCAACCCTACACACACATCCTTGCCAAGGAAGCAGTCCCATCCCAGAGTAGACTTCCCTATGTGTTAGTGGAAGGGAATGCACCTGCAACAAACGCAATGTCCTCTTGTTTCTGACTTCCTTGTCACACTGTGAGGGTCATCCAAGTTGTTGACTGTGTTCTCACTGCAGTGTGGCAATTAAGCAGTAAATAAATATATTGTAATTATCCATTGCAATGTGGGTGGGCCTTCAAGAGTCTCTTCTTTTGGGGGCCATTACATAGAATATTGCTGTGAGCCAGGCAGATCTCTTGAGTTCAGGGTTAGCCTGGTCTACAAAGCAATTTCCAGGACAGCCAGGGCTGCACAGAGAAACAGGTCTTAAAAAACAACACCAAAAAAATACTGCTGGGAACATTTGGTGTACCTTTAAAAAGTTTTATTTATTAGTAGGTGTGTACACCTGCCACAGTTTCTGAGTAGAACTCAGAGGGCAACTTCTGGGAGTCTGTTGTCTCTTCAGCTGTGGGTTCTGGGCTTGAACTCAGGTCCTCAGGCTTGCATGGTAAGCACGGTTACCCACACGCCATCTTACTGGCCTGGTTGTGCATTTGCGTATGCAGCTCTGTTGGGTATGTTCCTGCAGGCACACTTGCTAACTCTTGAAAGCACATTGCTGCTCAGCCTCAGTCGGTATTGTTTAACTGTCTTGTTAGTCTCGGCTCACACCACTTACACACCACTAGCAGTTCCGTATCTTCACTCACAGTGCTTGGTGTGTGCCGCTGAGCTGGCTGGCGGTGGGAAATGGCATCTCATTGTGGGTTGGTGTGCATTTCCCTGATACTGTGGGAGCAAGATGAGTGCCCTTCAGGAGGCGATCGTCCTTCAGGAGGTGCCTGTTAGGTCTCTGCCCCTTTCTGCTGATGCACCGGATGCTTCTCTCCTTACTGGTCTGTAAATGTTTCCTATGTATTTTGAATATGTGGGACTAAAGGAGTGCACCATCGAGCCTGACTGGTACCAACCACCTTAATCTCTTTACTGAATTATAGCAAAAATGTGAGAGTTCACAGTGAGGACACCTATGGGTCCAATCAGGAAGGACCAGATACGCGGTGACTCCCGTCTCTTCCTCCCCTCCTCCCTTTCCCCTGTCCCTCACCTGAGTCTCCATTATGTTACCTTGACTAGAATCAAGCTTCTTGATCCACTACTTTAGTTCCTCCCAAGTGCTGAGATTGCAGGCACATTGCTAACCCACTCTATCTTTCTGTGAAACAGGCCCTTTACTTTGCTTAGGGCTTGTAGTGTATTTCCAATTGACTTTAATACGTGTGTGATCAGAACTTTCTTCACCCCTGTGCATACAAGTTTAATCTTTTCTCCCTTATAGTTTGTACTTTTTGTTGTTGTTTGTTTTGTTTTTCCAGACAGGGTTTCTCTGTATTGTTTTGGAGCCTGTCCTGACACTCAGCTCTGTAGAACAGGTTGGTTTCGAACTCACAGAGATCCGCCTGCCTCTGCCTCCTGAGTGCTGGGATTAACGGCATGTGCCACCAACGCCCGGCGTAGTTTGCACTTTGAAGGCCTGTTAAGAAATTTTTAGGAGAGTGGCTGGAGAACTGGCTCAGTGGTTAAGAACACTTATTTGCTCTTGCAGAGGACCTGGGTTTGGTACCCAGCACCACATTGCATCTTACAAACATCTGTAATTCCAATTCTAGGAGATCAGGTTTCTTTCCTGAGCTCTGTGGTCCCTGCGTGCCCCTAGAGCTAGAATTCTGGTCAATTGTGAGCTACCGTGTAGGGTCTGGGAATTGAACCCAAGACCTTTGCAAGAGCAGTAGATGATGTTCTTAACTACCAAGCCATCCCTACAGCCCTCAAGACTCCACTTTATAAAGTAACAATGTGAGTGAATTCACAGACCATGTATTCCAGCCATTTAAAGAATCCAGTTCTGGGGCTGGAGAGATGGCTCAGAGGTTAAGAGCACTGATTGCACTTCCAGGGGTCCTGAGTTCAATTCCCAGCAACCACATGGTGGCTCACAACCATCTGCAACTCAATCTGGTGCCCTCTTCTGGCATGTAGGCAGAACACTATATATGTAATAAATAAATCTTAAAAAAGAAAAAAACAGATAATACATGAAACATAAAAAAAAAAAAAAGAATCCAGTTCTGTGTGGATCCATCTCTGTCCTCACTCCCAAAGAAAACCCCACCTCCCAGAGCGGTCACTCCCATTTCCCCTGGTCACTCGTCTCTGTCTGTCTGTGTAGAGTTGCCTTTTGCAGCTGCATATTCCATGGACTGTGTTGTAATCTTTATAATTGGTTTCTTCAGGTAGCATGGCCCCATGTTACATGGGGCCCTTCTGTGACTGGATAACATTCGGCTTTTGTTGTGAGTCAGGGACTTGCTCATGCTGGTCTGGAACTCCTGATACTCCTGCTTTTTTTTTTTAATTAATCTATTTATTATGTATACAGTATTCTGCCTATATGTATGTCTGCTGGCCAGAAGAAGGCACCAGGTCTCATTACAGATGGTTGTGAGCCACCATGTGGTTGCTGGGAATTGAACTCAGGACCTCTGGAAGAGCAGTCAGTGCTCTTAACCTCTGAGCCATCTCTCCAGCCCCTGATACTCCTGCTTTTGCCTCCCAAGTGTTGGGTTACAGCTTGATGAAGCCTTCTGAGGTGCTCATTTGAGGGTGGTAGATGGGGCTTCCCTTTCCCCACACAAAGAGTAGACACAGGCTCTTATCTGCAGCTCATTTGGCTTCTTTTCTCCTTCTCTCCTTCCCAGACTGTGGCTCTGCCAATGATCTTGTGAGTGTTGGGAATTCCTAGTTGCCCTTGTGGGCCCTTGTCCTAGAGTGGTCACCTGCCTTCTCCCAGCATGGCATCCGACACGCCTGAGTCCCTGATGTCCCTCTGTACTGACTTCTGTCTCCGGAATCTCGATGGCACCCTGGGATACCTGCTGGACAAGGAGACCCTGCGGCTGCATCCAGACATCTTCTTGCCCAGTGAAATCTGTGACCAGCTGGTCAATGAGTAAGCAAGGGACTCCCCAGGACCGGGGCAGGGTTGGAGCCAAATGTGGGGGTGAAGTGTGAGCTGAAGACCATGACTGTATGTTCAGACCCCACAAGGGGAAGTGGCTGTGAGTGTGACAGTTAAGGGGCAATAATGATACATATGTTACCATGGAGATATGGTTGCGTATGCAGTGGCGTTTGTGCACAGGTGGGACACTTGAAGGAATGGATATCTATACATGTAGGATTATATGGCACAGAACATGTGTGTGAAGCAGCATGTGTGTGTTTAGGGATGAGTTAGTTTAAAATCCCACGTATAAATCAGGGCATTGTGTGCTACCCTGTGTGTGTGCTCACACCTGTGCCTGTACTTCTGAACTAAGTACACATGGACATGTGTGTATACATGTGTATTAAGACCAGAACAACAGACCTGTTCAGGGATTGAATCACCCAGATGATCTTTATACATTCCCTGAATGCGGAAGTGTATACCGGTTAGGATCAGAGAGCTCATAACCACATGGAGCCTGAGGACTGAGCTCGGAATGGTCTCCTCAGCATTTGATGTGGACCAGGCATGATGCTAAACACTGTATCTACTTAGCACCAGTGCATTCTCCAGGTGACAAGACTGACATCTAGAGTTACATGGGAGTTTCCAGCTGGGAGTATTAGAGCCAAACAGGGTTTCACTGCCCTGCAACTCGCTCTGGACCAGGCTGGTCTCAAACTCAGAGATCCGCCTGCCTCTGCTTCCCGAGTGCTGGGATTTGAGGTGTGCTGTACCATGCCTGGCACTTTCCTTTTTTAAAGGGGCCACCATGTAGGTGCTGGGAACTAAATACTAGTCCTCTGTAAGAAAAAGTACACTTTTTTAAAAAAATAAAACTTCTGTTCTCTCATACATTACTTCCTGACCCAAGTTTCCCCTCCCTCCACTCCTTCCAGTCCCTAAGAACAAGTACTCTTAACAGCTGAGCCATCTCTCGCAGCCCCTAGCCCTGGATTCAGCATAAACTAGTATCCTGCTAGGTAGGTTACACTGAAGACTCACTCTCTGCCTAGCACCCAGCTGTAAGCTCAAAACCATTTTCACTGAATTCGCATGCCCTGGAAGGGGCTGATAAGATGCCAGCAGGCTACTAAGAAAAGATATATTTGGACGGTGGTGGGGCTGTGACTGAGGTAGGGCCGATCTGGTGCTGGGCTGTGCCTGCCAAGAGGAGGCCCACGTGCTGTGTGTGGAGGTTCAGGGTTAGGCTGCTGACGGGAAGTGCTTGGGACTTGCCTTTGATGGTAAGAGGCCCCTTTTGTCCCAGGAGGTCAACCTGAGGACCACCTTTTGGTTCCTGTCTCCTGAAACATATGGTATAGTCAGAGTCTAAGCAGGTTCTGTGAATAGAGGACCCTAAGCTGACTGTTGGGTGATCTCCTAAACCCTCAGGCACTTAGTGTGGGTTCAGAAGGCAGCCCAGACTCGTAGGCACTCCCTGAGCTAGGCTTGCGTCTCTCCAGGTATGTGGAGCTGGTCAGTGCTGCCTGCACCTTTGAGCCGCATGAGACTTTCTTCAGCCTCTTCTCAGACCCCCGCAGCACTCGCCTCACCCGAATCCACCTCCGAGAGGACCTGGTGCAGGACCAGGACCTGGAGGCCATTCGAAAGCAGGTGAGATCACTCTCCCTACTGTGCGGACCCTGCCCCTGCCCCTGCCCCTGCCCCTGCCCCTCCCCCGAAGCCAGCCTGGGGTGGCACACGGTGGGCAGAGGCGCTGAGGCCGATGTGCTGCTCCAGGACCTGGTGGAGCTCTACCTGACCAACTGCGAGAAGCTGTCCGCCAAGAGCCTGCAGACACTGCGGAGCTTCAGCCACAGTCTGGTGTCCTTGAGCCTCTTCGGCTGTGCCAACATCTTCTATGAGGAAGACAACCCAGGGGGCTGTGAGGACGAGTGTCTCGTCAACCCTACCTGCCAAGTTCTGGTCAAGGACTTCACCTTCGAAGGCTTCAGCCGCCTGCGCTTCCTCAACCTGGGCCGCATGATTGACGGTGTCCCTGTGGAGTCACTGCTCCGGCCACTCAACTCACTGGCTGCCCTGGACCTCTCAGGCATCCAGACAAGCGACGCTACCTTCCTAACACAGTGGAAGGACAGTCTGATGTCCCTTGTGCTCTACAACATGGACCTGTCAGATGAGCACATCCGTGTCATCACCCAGCTGCACAAGCTGCGGTGAGCTGCTCCCTCAGCATCCCACAGGAGGGGAGGGCAGAAGGCGGGAGAGAGGTGTGGGAGAGAGGGAACCCTTGCATGGAGCATGGGGACAGAGCCCACTCCTTAGATCACATATTCTGGCTGGATGAGGATGATATAAGGCACCTAAGTCCCAGCAGGGCTTTTTCCCAGAATTCCCTGGGGAAGTTGTGGCAGGCATGGCCCCTCCCCTGCTGTGACTTGGAGGAACCAGATCCTGACCTCAGGCCCCTGCTTGTCTTCCAGCCACCTGGACATCTCCCGAGACCGCCTCTCCAGCTACTACAAGTTCAAGCTGACACGGAAAGTGCTCAGCCTCTTGGTGCAGAAGCTGGGGAACCTGATGTCCCTGGACATCTCTGGCCACATGATCTTAGAGAACTGCAGCATCTCCAAGATGGATGAGGAAGCAGGGCAGAACAGGTGGGTACCCGGCTGTAGCTGCTCGGAGGATGTCATTTACCACGCTCTAACTAAGCACCCTGTGCCATGTATGTGCTGGGTGCTAGAGATAAGAAGCAAGCCCATGAGTTCAGCACGGTGAGGCAGACCTTTAATCCTAGTACACAGAGTCAGAATACTCAGCCCTGTGAATTCAAGGCCAGCTAGGGCTGCATAGTTTCAAAAGGGGGCTGGGGTGGCTAGAGAGATGGCTTAGCGGTTTAGAGCATTTGTTGCTCTTCCAGAGGACCTGGGCTTGAGTCCCAGCACCCACATGACGACTCACAGCCTGTCTGTGTTAGTCTACTTCCAAGGGACTTGACATCCTCTTCTGGCCTCTGCAGGCACCCGGCACACACAGAGTACAACATATATGGAGGCAAAAATACCCACACTTGTTATGTCAACTCTTCTGCCAGCCGCCTGGGTCCTGCTGCTGCTTCAGTCCCCAGATAGCACACAAGACATTATATTAATTATAAATGTAATGGCTGTTGACTAGGGCTTTTTATTGACTAGCTCTGTCTTAATTACTAACCCATTTCATGTCTAAGTATTTCCACATGGTCTTATCTTGCCAGAGAAATCTCTGGAGACATGTTACTCCTCTCTCGTCCTACATGGTAACTGGCTGTGCCTACACTTCCCAGAATCCTCCTCCTCTCCTAGACCCACGTATCTTGCTCCCCTATTGGCCAACAGTGTTTTATTCATCAACCAATAAGAGAAACATATTTACAGAATGACATCCCCCATCACATACCCATAAAATTAAAATAAATAATCAATTTTTTAAATATTTATTTATTTATTTATCACATATACAATGATCTGCCTACATGCCAGAAGAGAGCACCAGATTGAATTGTAGATGGTTGTGAGCCACCATGTGGTTGCTGGGAATTGAACTCAGGACCCCTGGAAGAGCAGTCAGTGCTCTTAAACTCTGAGCCATCTCTCCAGCCCAAATAATCAACTAAAAAAAAAAAAAAAAGTCAAGGGCCAGCAGGATAGCTCAGCATGTAAAGGTGCTTGACACCAAACCTGATGACCTGAGTTCTGTCCCTGGAACCCAGTCCTACAAACTGTCTGATGATTTCCTCCAAATGAGTGCTCACATTCCAGTATACACAAGCACATATACACACACTTTGAATAAATTAGCATAAATAAAGAAGCAAGTCAGGCTCTGCCCACTGTGGCCCATGTGAGCCGGTGGGGATAGAAAAGTCATTCTGGACACTGGCCTGGGAAATGCACACTCGAACTGCCTCACACCATTCTGAGTCTGTTGAACAGATCACATTGCAGGATGGGGTCAGCATGCACAAGACTTGGGGGCCAAAGGCATGATGGTGTGTCAGGGAACAGCAGGAAGGCTGTCCTGCTGCTCCCCAGGTGATGCCATGGTTGATGTGTGCCTCTGCACTGCTGGTGAGATCTAATTCCAGCCCAGCTGCTATAATTGGCCTCATGCCCTCCCTCAGCCATATAAGTGGCGTGTGGCAAAGGCGCTTATCTTTGCTTGTTGGTGAGATGTGTCCCTGTTAGAATGGCAGGTAAAACCCCTCATAGGTGCCGGTGATAGCAGTTCCCATTCCATGTTCTTCTACACTGTGTCCTTCCCACCCTTCCATCAAGAGGTGGGGGCTGGGAATGTGTCAGGTAGTAAGTGTTTGCCTGCCATGCATAAAGCCCTGGGCTCCATCCCCAGCACAGCATAGAACAGGCCTGTGCCTATAGGAGGGCCAGGAGTTCAAGGCCAGTCTTAGCTACTTAGTGAGTTGGGCAGGGGCAGGATGAGACTAAAAGCCCTTGTTTCTCCATCAATGAAATAGCTCATCCGTAGGGCAGCCCTGGCAGCTCTGGCCAGCCTGCTGACTCTGGAATGCTCTCTTCCCAGCACTGACCCTTCCAAGAGCAGCATCATGCCTTTCCGGGCTCTGAAGAGGCCACTGCAGTTCCTTGGGCTCTTTGAGACCTCCCTGTGTCGCCTCACACACATTCCAGCCTACAAAGTAAGAGAAGGGGTATGGCGTGGGAGGAAGAAAGTGGCCGGGTACTGGAGCACTGCTGCGTCTGGGCTCCCACTACCTGGCCTCTTCCGGGTTGTTCTGAACTTTTTCCATCTTTAGGTGAGCGGTGACAAAAACGAAGAGCAGGTACTGAATGCCATCGAGGCCTACACAGAGCACCGACCTGAGATCACCTCCAGGGCCATCAACCTGCTATTTGACATTGCACGCATTGAACGCTGCAACCAGCTTCTGCGGGCCTTGAAGGTCAGCTCAGACCCCAAGTCCCCAGGCTTTCAGAGAGCCCTGCCATCCTCCTCTGTCCCTCTGTACCCACTCCTGATCCCAAGGGAGTAGGCAGCCTTGCCTGACACCCCTGCCAACTGGTTCAGGCCCTGCCCTAGGTCCTGCTTTCCTCCACATCTACCCAGGAGTGCAGGGCCAGGGTCAGCCTTTCCCAGAGGAGCCATGGTGACTCAGAACCCAGGCTGTCCTTGCCTGACTCTGGCAGCACTTCCAGCCCCAGCCCCCACCCTGTCTTCACACAGCTGGTCATCACAGCCCTCAAGTGCCACAAGTATGACAAGAACATTCAAGTGACCGGCAGTGCTGCCCTCTTCTACCTGACCAACTCTGAGTACCGCGCGGAGCAGAGTGTCAAACTGCGCAGGCAGGTCATTCAGGTCGTGCTGAACGGCATGGAGTCCTACCAGGAGGTGACGGTGAGCCCCCATCTACCGTGGCCTGCATGCTTTGGCCCAGGAACCCCTTCTGCTGCCCAGGGTCCCAGACGTGTGTCTGCCAGGCTTACCTGGGCTTAAGTGGCCTTTGCCAGTTTCCCTGGCACAGCTGCTGTCCCAGAAACCTGTCCCTGGCACACAAGGGCCCCAGAAACTGGCCTCTGCCATAGCCACCCCACCTCTGCCTTCTGAGTTTCAGATGTGCCATCTCCTCTGCCCCTCTGTCCCTATAACTGTTGGGGAGACTGTTTTTTAAGTATAATAAAGGAACATTCACCATAGAGCAGTTACAGATGCCAAGACATGAAATCCGCCTAAAGCTCCACCACTTAAGCCTTCCACTGACACACCTTATTCTGTTGTTTTTTTTTTTTTGGTTTTTCGAGTCAGGGTTTCTCTGTGGCTTTGGAGGCTGTCCTGGAACTCGCTCTGTAGACCAGGCTGGCCTCGAACTCACAGAGATCCACCTGCTCTGCCTCCCGAGTGCTGGGATTAAAGGCATGTGCCACCAACGCCCGGCTGACATACCTTATTCTGAATTTTAGTCTGTGCATGAGAATTTCGTAAATAGGTCATTTGCACCATGCTGCTGCTGTTTATGTAATATGGATGCTCACCTCTATGGGGTGTGAATATGCAGACAATTGTATATATTTTTAATTATTATTATTATTATTATTAATGTTCATTGATGTTTTGCCTGCATGTATGTCTGTGTGAGGTGTCAGAAGCCCTGGAACTGGAGTTATAGACAGGTGTGAGCCACCATGTGGGTGCTGGGAATTGAACCCAGGTCATCTGGGAGAGCAGCCAGTGCTCTTCACTGCTGAGCCATCTCTCCAGTCCCACAAACAATTTCTGCTTTGAAGACTTGGCTCAAACCAAAGAAGGGAAAGGCAGGGAATCAGGCTCTTGCTTGTGATGGAGACTGAGGAAAGGATTGGGGTCTGGGCTACAGAGTAAAACCCTGTCTCAAAAGGAAAATCGCAGCTCTCAGTAGACAAAAGCAGGTGGATCTCTGTGAGCTCAAGGCCAGTCTGGTCTACAAATCAAGTGACAGGACAGCCAGGACTACACACACGCACATGCACAGGCACACGCACAGGCACAGACTGTCTTGAAAAACAAAAGGAAATGGGATATGGAATGATGGTTCACAAATTACAAGCACTGGTACCAGGGGATGCAGCACCCTCTTCTGGCCTCCATGGGCACTGTATGCATGTGACACACAGACATACAAGCTAGCAAATCAACATTCATAAAATTAAAATGAGGAAAATAAAGGAGCTAGGACACTACTTTTTTGTGTGTGTGACATGATTTCTCTGTGTAACAGCTCTGGTTATCCTTGAACTCACAGAGATCCGCCTGTCTCTGCCTCCTAAGTGCTGGGATTAAAGACATATACCACCACTGCCTGCTGGACTCTAGTAGCTTTCTGCACAGGCAGTAGCATATAAACATTGTACGGGGTTACCTTTAAACTTTAAAGTAAGGCCAGGGCAGAGGCAGGGTACTGCCTCTCTGAGTTCAAGGCCAACCTGGTCTACAGAGTGGTTCCAGGACAAGTAAAAATTTTAAAAAAGAAGAAGAAACTTTTAAATAAACTTTTTCTCACATTATAATACTTTGGACCAGGTACATAGCTCAGTGATGGAGCACATACACAAGGCATGAAGTTCGGGGTTCAATTCCAATCACTGCAAAAAGTATGTGTGCGCATGCATGTGTGTATGATAAATGGGGGGCACCCAAGACGTTGACTAAGGAACCATATTCTCTGGACAGTGTGGTCAGTAAAACATGATGAATGTCGGTATTAAGGAAGGAAGGAAACAGAGCTACATATATGGCTCAGTGGTTAAAAGCACTTGTTACCCCTGCAGAGGACATAGGTCCTATTCCTAGCACTAGTTTGGCGGCTCGCAATTGGTTGTAACTCCAGGCCAACACCTTCTGAACTCCTTGAGCACAAGGCATGGTACAGGCAAAACACTCACATACACAAATAAATTTTAAAATCTAGAATGTATGTTTGGAAAGAAAGGAAATGAGATTAAATGATGATCAGTGATCATCATAAACGTGCAGGCTGGGAAAGAGCAACCGAGAAGGCCTGTTTACTGCCAGTGGGAGTGCAAGCCAACACAGACACAGACACAGAAAACAGCCTGGCATTATCTAGTACCAGGAATACGTGTACACTTAGACTTTGTGATCCAGAGAGTCCTCAAGGAAGCCAGACTTGGTGGAAGCAAGAGGACCAGAAGTTCATGTCATCTTCAGCTGTGTTTGAAGGCAGCCTGGACTCCATAAGACCCTGTCAGGAACATTAAGAGCAGAGCTCCCCCAGCATGTGCACCTTAGTGCAGCTGTGTTACGGACATCAGAAAGCATGTGTGATACATTATGCACAGAAGCCAAAGTCTATTCGCCTGAGAATTGATAGGTAAACTGAGAGAATACTATGCTACAATGAAAATGAGTACATCTCAGCTGCATGTAACAACACTTGACCTTGTAAGCAGTCCTAAACAGGGACTATGGCTCACTGGGAAGGGTAGAAAGGGAGGGAGTTTGGGTGTTGACAGTATTGGTTCTTGGCATAGATAGTAGTAACATGGGTATTTTTTTACAGTTATATATGCTGTAAAATTTCATGTTTTTGAAAACTTTTTTAGAATAACCTCAATAGAAGTAAAAAGCAAGACAACAAGGCATAGCTGATCCTGGTGGTACATACTTGTGATCCCAGGTCTTGGGAGGCTGAAGCAGGAAGGGTAGGAGTTGATGTTAGCCCTGGCTACATAGTGAATTTGAATTCAGCCTGGATTATGTGAGACCCCCCCATCTCTATCTCAGAAATCTTCAAACAAAAAGAGACTGGTAGCTTGCTCCTCCAGAAAGCCTCCCCAGCTCTGGGTGGCCTCTGCCTGGAGCCTCGCTACAAATCTTTGCCTGAGCATTTTCTCCTTGCCTCCTAAATTGGCCCAGGTGCAGCGGAACTGCTGTCTGACCCTTTGCAACTTCAGCATCCCCGAGGAACTGGAGTTCCAGTACCGCCGGGTGAATGAACTTCTGCTTGGCATCCTCAGCCCCACCCGGCAGGACGAGTCAATCCAGCGCATTGCCGTGCACTTGTGTAATGCCCTGGTCTGCCAGGTGGACAACGACCACAAGGAGGCGGTGGGCAAGATGGGCTTCGTGGTGGTACGTGTGCTCGCCTGCCCTTGTCATCCTGTCCTCTGAGTGAGGCCTCTGGAGACATGGGCTGGGCTAGAAGGGGAGGGAAAAGGCGTAGGGTGGACCCTGGGGTGCGGTGGAGGAGAGCATTGCTAAGGACTGCGTGCAGGCCTGGCATGTGCTAGGGAAGTGCCCGGCACCGAGCTTCCTACCAGCACTTTGAATACTTTCTTTCTTCCCCTTGACTTATTTTTAATTACGGGTGTGTGTGTGTCAGTGGGCGCTGGTGGAGGCCAGAGTTGTTTGACCCACCCGGAGCTGGAGTTAGAGGGTGCCATGCATCATCTCACATGGGTGCTGAGACTTGAACTTGGGCCATCCTAACACAGAGTGGTCTCTGAAATTCTCCCAGAAGAGGTGTTTGTTTGTTTAATTTTTTTTTTTTTTGAGACAAAGTCTTTCTATGTAGCCCTGACTGGCTTGGAACTTGATATGTAGACCAGGCTGGTCTCAAACTCAGAAAGATTCACCTCCCTCCTCCTGAGTGTTGGTATTAAAGGCATGTACAACCATGACCACCTCAGAAGAATTTTGTTTGGTTTTGTTTTTTGAAGACAGGGTTTCTCTGTCCTGGAACTCACTTGTAGACCGGGCTGGCCTTGAACTCACAGATATCTGCCTATCACATGCTAGAATTAAAGGCATGTGCCACCACTGCCTGGCAACCAGAAAATTGTTTTTTGTTTGTTTGTTTCCTTTCAAGACAGGGTTTCTCTGTATAACAGCCCAGCTGTCCTGGAACTAGCTCTGTAGACCAGGCTGGCTGAGTGCTGGGATTAAAGGCATGCACCACCACTACCTGGCCAGAAGAATTTCTTTCTTTTTTTTTTTTTTTTTTTTTTTTTTTTTGGTTTTTTTTTTTTTTTTTTCGAGACAGGGTTTCTCTGTATTGTTTTGGAGCCTGTTCTGGAACTCGCTCGGTAGACCAGGCTTGGTCTCGAACTCACAGAGATCCACCTGCCTCTGCCTCCCGAGTGCTGGGATTAAAGGCGTGCGCCACCACCGCCCGGCCAGAAGAATTTCTTAATGAGACTGTTGATTATGATTGTGTGGCTTTCTCTGTCTTTAAACTACTTTCACTCAGCTCCAATTCAGAAATCTCTGTGGAAAAGACCAGGGTTGGCCCTTCCGTCACTGTACCTTCCTGGCCTAGTGGGAATAAATTTCCAGCTTCGCACCCGGGGCAGGATAAATATGGAAGGAAAGGAAGAGGCAGGGCCTAGATGGGTCAATTGCCACCCTCGCTTTGTCCCTGGGAAAGTGCAGCCCATAGTAGGGGAGGCTACTCGACCCCTTCAAACAGCCTCCAAAAAACTAGCCTTGGACTCTGCCAGGCTGTGTTGCCTGGGACAGCCAGTAGCACTCTCTGCTGCACTCCGGGGCTGTTGGAGCCCTGACCTCAGGCAGCCTTTCTCCTACAGACCATGTTGAAGCTGATCCAGAAGAAGCTGCTGGACAAGACGGTAAGGAGAGCCTCATACACTCTGCCCTCACCCCCAGAGGCTTCTGTGCCAGGGCTGACTGTGTGTTCTCAGGAGGGTACAACTGAGCTGTGCCTCCCCCACAGTGTGACCAGGTCATGGAGTTCTCCTGGAGCGCCCTGTGGAACATCACAGACGAGACACCCGACAACTGCGAGATGTTCCTCAACTTCAATGGCATGAAACTTTTTCTCGACTGCCTCAAGGTAGGCATTGGCCGAGCTGCCACCCATCCCACAGGCTGCTACCCATACAAGTGCGATCCCATGCAAGGTTCTTGTGGACACCCAGGGCATAAGCAATTCAAGGCCACACACAGTGTTTGCCCCTAAGAGAAGTGTCGGAGACCACCAGCCCCCCTTGGCTATGCCACCCAGCTGGGCCTTTTGAGATCCCTTCTGCCAGCGAACCTGCCTTTTTCACAGCAGTCTGCCCTAACTGCCCACAGACCATTCCCTGCCAACTAAATACAGTTCTGCCCGGAAGGTAGGTCTCCGTTTCTTGCTCTAGCTTCCAAGGGGCTCCCCAGGACTTTTCTGAGCTGTGGCAAATGGAACCACACTTGTCCCACAGTCATGGGAGCACTAGGAAGTTGGGGTCATCCTACTGTACCTCCTGTGTCTGGAAGGGCCATTGAGACAGGTGCCCACACAGCCTTCAGGGTAGAAATGTCGGTAAATGATCGAGTACCAAGGCCTTGCTGGCTGTCGTTACCCAGGAGTTCCCAGAGAAGCAGGAGCTGCACCGGAACATGCTAGGACTCTTGGGGAATGTGGCAGAGGTGAAGGAGCTGAGACCTCAGCTGATGACCTCCCAGTTCATCAGCGTCTTCAGGTTGGTGATCCCTCAGCTGCCAGGAAGCTCCAGACAGCAGTGTGTAGTCTATGTGCGACCACAACTGTGCTCAGGCTAGGTCTCTGTTATTGACACTGCTTTCTATCTGTATTGTGGTTTTTGTTTTCAGTTGATGTAGTGTGAGGGATGGGTATGTGCCCATGCGTGCAGTTGCCCATAAAGGCCAGGTCTCCCTGGGAACCTAGCTCCAGTCTCTGAAAGAGCAATGTGTGTTCTTAACCTCTGGGCCATTTCTTAGCTCCTTATGTGTTTTCTTACTCTTTCAACCTGCCGCAGATGGCAGTAATGTCATGTCCATTTTTGAAGGAGTCTGTGAATAACAAGTGGCTGGATATGGTGGCACAAGCTCATAATCCCAGCACTTGGAGAACAAAGCAGAAATCTTGACGACATAGCAAGTTCCAGGCCAGCTTGAACTACATGAGACCCTGAAAACAAACAAAAGACCCAAGTCGTTTCCAGCTGAGTCCCAGTAGCACACACCTGTAACCCTAGGGCAGGAGGCGGAACCATCCATCAGAGTCACAGTGACAGCGCCTCTGGCGTGGGGTGTCTGGGTTATCATCCATGAGTGAATGATGGATTTTTCCTTCTTCCTCCTGGTAGCAACCTCCTGGAAAGCAAGGCCGACGGCATTGAGGTTTCTTATAATGCCTGTGGTGTCCTGTCCCACATCATGTTCGATGGGCCCGAGGCCTGGGGTGTCTGTGAGCCCCAGAGGGCAGAGGTGGAAGAACGTATGTGGGCAGCCATCCAGAGCTGGGACATCAACTCCCGAAGAAATATCAACTACAGGTTTGAGATGGGAAGGTACACAGCATGGAGAGTCAAAACCTGCTTGTCCCAGAGTGCTGTGGTCCTGTCCTCTAAAGTAATTTCTCTCCCTCGTGTGTATGATGGACACATTTCCCACTTATTAACCCCTGTGTGAATCCAAGGTTTGTGTTTAATGCATGCCTGATAAAGAGCTGAATACACAGCAAAACACAAGTCACCTGTAATCATGCCCCCATCGGGTTGACTTTAGTTCTTACTATACTGTGAGTAGATTGCAATCACCCTTTCTACCTCTGTGTGTGTGCTGTGTGTGTGTAGCCGGTCATTAAAAGTTAAATACTCATTTGGGGGATGAACTAAGATGTGCAGCTTTGATCGGGTCCCGGGTCCCTGGGAGATAGAATGCTGATTCCTGGGGCCCCTCTGAGGGACAGGATGCTGATTCCTGGGGCCCCTCTGAGGGACAGGATGCTGATTCCTGGGGCCCCTCTGAGGGACAGGTTGCTGATTCTTGGGGCCCTTTGAGGGACAGGACGGTAAGTCTCAGGGGCCCCTCTGAGGGACAGGTCGGTAAGTCTCAGAGCCCTATGAGGGACAGGACGGTAAGTCTCAGGGGCCCCTCTGAGGGACAGGATGGTAAGTCTCAGGGCCCCTCTGAGGGACAGAACAGTGAGTCTCGGCCTCTCTGAGACTTTGCTGATATGATTTTTTTTTGGGGGGGGAGGCTGGAGCTGCAGCCTGGCCTAGAGTCGCTGTAGGTGATTCCAGGGCTTCTCCCTTTATCACCACAGCTTGCCTCTCTCTCAGGGGTCGCTGAGACCCCCAGCTTTTTGCCCTTTTCCCTCTATTATGACTGATTTTCTTTGGAGCAAGCTCCTGGGCAGAGCCTACAGCAGGGCCCCTGGTATCCCACAGGGTTGCCCATGCTGCCCTTAGGACCCTGCAGGCTAGAGAGCTCAGGGAGGAGAAAATGCTACATCCTCCCTGGTCTCGATCTCGGGGTAACAGCCGCCTCTCTCCTCCAGGTCCTTTGAGCCGATTCTCCGCCTGCTTCCTCAGGGCATCTCTCCAGTCAGTCAGCACTGGGCCACATGGGCCCTGTACAACCTGGTGTCTGTCTATCGTGAGTGCCTCCCCCTCTGTTTAGACACCCTCTCAGATGAGAACAGCATGTCCACAGGGAGCTGGCGTGCAGGAGGGCACAGAGTTAGTGTTGGTCTGTGTCTGAGAGCAGTCCTCTGCACTCTGGCACTGGTGGCATGCCGGTGTGGTGGCTAGCCCCGCTGCACCACAGGGCCACCCGGCTGTACCAGTGTGCCGTTCTCACACTTGCCCCCCTACGTGTGAGTGAACTTTCCAGAAGGACACCTGTGCTTCCAGCCTGGATCGTTACTACAGTCACCAGGGGCTATCTTACTAGCAATGTCATAATGCAAGCTGCTGCCTGGGGACTCCTTTTCCAAAACTCCCTGAGAACCTGTGTCATGATACAAACCTCTCAGAGGGATGTCATGCTTTGGGCCTATGGTTAGGATGATGTTTTCCATAGGACAAACTCTGGGGAAACTGTAACAGCATTCGACCACAATAGGGAAGTGTCTCTCCCAAGGCTTGCCCATGTTCCCATCCAGGTGGACCTAGGAAATGGGTGGGCTTGTCCCTGCTTCCAGTGGTGTCCTTCCCTCAGGCAGCCACTGAGAGCAGTTGTGGCAGCACAGTGGGTGTCTGGGCACAGACGGGTAGAAGGCCACCCGTGCTCAGCTACCTGCTCCTGTCTTGTAGCTGACAAGTACTGCCCCTTGCTGATCAAAGAAGGTGGGATGCCCCTGCTGCGGGGCTTGCTCAAGATGGCCACTGCGCGGCAGGAAACCAAGGAGATGGCCCGGTAAGAGGCAAACCTTGTGTTCCTGTCTAGGTACCTTGACGTGGAGGGCAAGGGGAGTGGCAGAAGTTCCCAGGGGCCACCCAGGGTTGAATGTGGAGCACACAGTGTATGGTTGTCTATCAGGGGCCTCTGTCGTTCACCCATGACAGAGACAAGAGGTCGACTGTTGGCAGAGCTTATCTGCCCTCAACCATTCGCTTGGCTTCTTTTGATTCCCACAGAGAGCCCTCCTTGTTGCTCAGCACTAGCAAGAACTCCACATTATCTTTGAGCAGTGTGGTGAGGCATATTCTGGAGCCACATGTGCACAGTGCTAGTGTATCTGGACGCAAGTGTGAGGGTCACCAGGGAAGGTGCCCTTCGATAGGCTAGAATGAAGCTCAGTAGTACAGCACGTGCCTAACATGTGCAAGGCCTCATCCATAGCATGTACGCACCCCGTGCGTGCCCGTGCACACGCACACACACACGCACACACACCCCAGTGTTAGGGTTGGGGTATGCCAGAGCCCTCACTGGACTTCTGTGTCCAAGGGATTCATTGTTGAGTGTTGAGCAGCAGCTCTGATTGTCCCTCCCTCTGGCTAGTTAGTATCATTGGATTGACCTTCCTCTCTCCTGATCTATTCTAGTTGGAAGGGTAGGCCTTTACTATAATTCTAAGCACAGTGTAGCCTGAGGTTCAGGTAACCCTACCCCCCACCCCCAGAATATGCTCTGCCATTATTTTTGGTGCCGGCACTGTTTCGGTATTAACTGACAGACTAGTCCCCGAACTCAGTCTTCCTCAGGAGTCCCCTGAAAAGTGTTAGAACTGAACAGGCCTCATCTGCAGATTTCTTACCAGTGGGCCTGGGCAATCAACGTCAAACAAGGATCCTAGGACTTGCCAGTCACTAGGCGTGGCTTATCAGTCCTCTCAGCACCCTGAGGCCTGAGATGTGTTGAGCCAGCAGGTTCTTCTGGCATCAAGGAATGAATGGCCTTGGGCATCTCCTTCTCAAAAGGCCTTGATGCAGCCTTTTAGCAGCCTTCAAACCCAGAGGCTTCTTGTTGAGCAGGCAAGCAGTGCAAGTTCACAACACCAGCAATGGGGAGCAGGGTGAGCTGGGACACCAAGGCCTGGAGCCAGCGTGCTGTCTGTGCAGATCTCCAGACTGGTGCTTATCTGGGCTCCTCGTGGACTTGCACTGAGAGAGTGGGCTGGTGTGTAGGGGAAAGGAGCTCAGGCCTGGCTGCTTGTAGGACTCCTTTCTCAAGTCGAGGGCAATGGCAGGGCTCACAGCCACCCGCACTATTTCCTGGGGGCTCTGCCAGCCACTGTCAGGGTCTCTCTTAAGGTTTGTCAGGCAGCTGCGGGGCCCCAGGAGTGGGATCCCAGGAGGAGCAGCTCTCCTTAGCTACCCCCCACTGTCTCCCTTGTATCCAGCAAGGTGATTGATCACTGCAGTAACTATAGAGAGGAGAACATGGACACATCCAGATAGAGGCCTCCACCCATGGCCACACAGCTCGGACCACAGGACGGGAGGAAGCGCTGGAGGCCCAGTGGGCAGGTCCCTTCCGGAGCCTCCCACAGGAGGAAGAGACCTCGAGGACTTTTGCACAGCTGACGCTTTTCCTTAATGTTAGTGAGATATATATTATATATATATTATTTTTTTTTGGTTAGGAAGTGTGAAGTTTTGTGTGTATGACTTCTCCTGAGTCTTTGCAGCTCCTTGCCACTCTTAGCCCGCCTCCAAGCCTTCATTGCTGCCATGTTCACTCCTGCCCCAGCCGGCTTGCCTCCAATGCTGTGAGTGTCCGGTCCTTCCCAGTGAGCTCAGACCCTGGCCTGGTTTCTGTCTGTTGTTGGAGGAGCTGGCCCTTACCAGGCTGCTCAGCATCCCTGATACTGCCTGAGGGTGCTGCCCGGGCTCCCAGGTGATACTGATAGGGCTTGAGGATTAAGACCAGCCCTACTGAGTCTCCCAGAAGCCTTGGTGCTCCAGGCTGTGAGCCATCTGGGGCCAGAGAGTAAGATGTTGCCAGGCCTCGGGGCCATGCAGCTCCTATCCAGAGGACGCTGGAGAAGCAGGGCTATTGTTTGCCCATGGCTCTTTGGCTGTGCTGCTACGGAGGCTGCCTCAAGTTTCCGTCAGGCCCCAGGCTTTTGAAGGCTCCAGCACAGAGATGCTCAGAACTCAGAGGCAATTCCATTGCCCCTCTGCCAAACATGCCCCAGCTCTGGCAGCTGGCACCTTCCAGGACCAGGGTCTTGCTCCTTTTCTGTAGCCCTCATCTGCCCACAACACCCCAGTGCCCAGGTACTCCCACCAGCAGAGCTGAGCCCCCCCTGCCCAGAAGATATGACAAGGCAGCGGGTAGCCCCCTCCAGACCAGCACTGGGACGGTCCTCTGTCCCTCCAGCCTACAGGCTGCCCCTGAGAAGCTGCTCTATGTGTTACAGGCATAATGACCGGCCGCTCTCTAGGCATCTCGCGCCCCCCGCGCTGGGGCTCAGCGTTGCTTCTTATTGACTCGGGGGCCAGCCACCGAGGAAGGAGGCCTGTGCTCACAAGGGGCAAAGCTGGCCCTGGAGGCAGCTTTTGGTGTGGCTTTTTCTACCCTTTCTTCCCTGGGCGTGTTCTCTGATTTTTCTGACCTGGCATGTCTGCCTCCAGGCAGAGGGGGCCGGCTGTTCACAGAGCTCTGGGAGAGGTGACCGACCTCTCCAAAGGAAACAGTCTCCCCAGCCAGGTTAGAGGGTTCAACATGGGCTTCCCCACCTTAGCGCCTCCTTCCCACTGGCCCTTCTGACAGCGGCCAGACCATGAGCAGAGTTCACAGCCCATCGCTTTACCACCTGGGGTCTGGGGAAATGTCTGTACTTTGGGGTGTCAAAGAAATACATTTTTGTGCAAAGTGCAGAGGAGTGGTCTCTTTTTTTTGTTGCAGAGGATATTGGGGGATACTGGTCTGAGGTGTGGGGGTAGGGGGTCAGGAAACGGGCTAGGGGTCTCCCAGGAGGATCCAGGGGTGCAAGTGGTTTTCTTGTAGCTTTATATGCCTGCAGGCTGGGGACAGGTAACAACACACTGAGGTGACTATGTATCAGTGACATTTCTGCACACCTGTGCCTAGACGTTGACGTCATGGCTGGCTAGACTGGCCGAGCCTTTACTAGGATGGCACAGCCTGATGGGAGAGACAGCTGGTGAATATAGACAGACTTGCCACTCCGCAGTAAAGATGAGAAAGGCGCCTCCTGCCACTGCTGGGAAAGGTGGTCGTGGCTCAGAAAGTCTGCTGGGTGCTAGGCCGTGTCACACAGCTCCCTGTGGAGAGAGAAGAGGAAAGAGCCCCATAAGGCTAAGCTGAACCCAGCGGGGAAGTGGGGCCTGCCAGGTACAGCATCTCAGACAGGGCCTTGCCATGACAAAACAGTAGACGGTCCCTGGGGGATGGGACTATAAGGACCATGAAGGTGTGGGCGGGAGGACAGAGCCAAACAGCTGGGACACACCTGAAATGACCAGACTGGCCCTACCTGCACAGCCCTGCGTCTCCTCTCGGCTGCTGTGACTTCTAGGAGTCCTGCTCTAACGGGCTCAGGAATGACAGTCGCCACTTGCCAGATGCTCTCCAGACTACGCAGAAGGTGGAGGCAGGAGTGCAGGAACACAGTTCCGGGAGCTGGCCTGCTCACCTAACCCTTCTCAGTGGAGCAGAGGCCCTTCCCCTCAACCCTCAGCAGAGCCCGCACCAGGCTCCTCCCCGGGTGAGTGCCCTCTATCGCTGGCAGCCCACAAATGATGGATTGCCCTCGACTCTGAGTGGGTCAGCCAAGTCCAGGAGGGATGAGGAGTGGCTGTCTGGGCCTGCGGATTCCTCCATCTGTGCATACCCGGTGTTGGGTTTTCCTGTGTGTGCATTCAGCATTCTCATAGTCCTTGGGACAATCCACACACAGTTCATGGACTCCAAAGGTGAGTGCCTTCTTACCTCAGGTCACACAGAAAAGGAGGGAGCACAGCTTCTGGAGCACTGCTTCCTGCTCACCCATTACAGTGCCTGCCTACTCCCATAGGATTGTGAACACCATGTCAGCACTATGCAGAGGCTCAGCACACAGCTCAGAATGAGTATCCAGGGCTCTCTTTGGTCATTTTAGCCACTTCGTGGGAGTGTATGCTACTTGTCTGTGGTGCCCACGGTGGCCAGGGGAAGACAGCAGCTCACAGCTATGCGGCATGGATGCTGAGAGCCAAACTTCTTAAAGAGCAGTGAGCATTGATCCCTCAGCCATCACTCCAGGCTGCCCATTCAAGGCTCTTAGTAAAAGCTTACTGCAGGGCTGGAGAGATGGCTCAGCAATTAACAGCACTGGCTGCTCTTCAGATGGTCCTGAGTTCAATTCCCAACAACCACAGGGTGGCTCACAACCATCTGTAATGAGATCTGGTGCCCTCTTCTGGTCTACAGGCAGAACACTGTAAACATATTAAATAAATAATGTTTTTTTTTTTTTTTTTGGTTTTCAAGACAGGGTTTCTCTGTGGCTTTGGAACCTGTCTCTTGTAGACCAGGCGGGTCTCAAACTCACAGAGATCCGCCTGCCTCCGCCTCCCGAGTGCTGGGATTAAAGGCATGCGCCACCAACGCCCGGCCCACCACTTTTTTTTTGTTTGTTTGTTTGTTTTTTGTTTTTTTGTTTTTTGTTTTTCGAGACAGGGTTTCTCTGTGGCTTTGGAGGCTGTCCTGGAACTAGCTCTTGTAGACCAGGCTGGCCTCAAACTCACAGAGATCTGCCTGCCTCTGCCTCCCACCACTTTTTTTAAAGACAGCATCTCTCAATGTACTTCTGGCCTACCTGAAATTGTGTAGACTGGGCTGCCTCTGGCTAATGTTGAGAGTAAAGGCATGTACTAACATACCCTGTTGCATTGTGGCTCTTGCAAAGAGTGCATTGGGTTCCAGCACTCATATAATGCTTATAATCATCTGTGACTCCAGTTGCAGAGGTTCTGACACCCTCTTGTGACCTCTGCAGACACCAAGCATGGACATGGTGCACAGACATACATCCCAGTAAAACATTCACACACATAAAATAATAATAACCAGATCTAAGCCTGATGGCCTGATTTCAGTCCCTGAAACCCACATGGCAGAAGGAGAGGACCAATAGGTAGGATTATCTTCTTTCCAACCCTGCACCATGACATCCATGTATGCTTGGTGAGTGTACATGCACACACAAATAAGTGGTGGGGGTGTGCTGTTTGTTCTTTTTTTTAACCCCTGAGACAGAGCCTCACTGCAGCCTTGTAGACCAGGGCTGGCCATCAAATGCCTGTCTCTGTCCCAAACACTGGAATTAAAGGTGTGTGCCTCTGTCTCAGTGCTGGGATTAAAGATGTCAGCAGCCCACCCTTCCCCAAAATTTCTTTTTTGGTTTTCTGAGACAGGCTTTCTCTGTGTAGCCTTGGCTGTCCTGGAACCCTTTTTAAGAGATCCACCTGCTTCCTGAGTACTGGGGTTAGAGGGGTGCACCATCACTCTCTGGCTTCCAAACCCTTTTTGAGACAATCTTTCATATCATACAAGTTGGCTTTGAATTCCTTCCCCCATATAAAGGGGAGAATGGCCTTGAACTTCTGGTTTTCCTGCCTCTTTATCTCCTGTATGTTGAGACTGCAGCATGCCTCATCTTATTCTTTTTTCTTTTTAATTTATTTATTATGAATACAACACCCTGCTTCCATGTACACATCAGAAGAGGGCACTAGATCTCATTACAGATGGTTGTGAGCCACCATGTGGTTGCTGGGAATTGAACTCAGGACCTCTGGAAGAGCAGTCAGTGCTCTTAACCTCTGAGCCATCTCTCCAGCCCATCTTATTCTTTTTATACCATACTGTGAATTGAATCCAGGGTTTAATGAATGCTAGACAAGCACTCTATCAATTGTGCTAATACCCACCCCCTATTTAGTAATACCATCAGATGGTTCTGATTAGTCCTAACCACACACACACACACACACACACACACACACAGGAGTGAGGGACAATCCAGAAACATGCTGGCTTTGGGAAGTTAGTTCCCTTACAAAAAAGAGGAATGTTTAGTTGACCAAAACAAATCACCAATAGCATGAATACTGGGGATGGGGCTGGAGGGGAGCAATCGGCGAATGGGAAGGTCCTAGGGACACAAGAAAAGAAAGTCCGGCTGTCTTAGAGGCGGGTACTATCGCCAGCCCCATCGAGAGGCAGTAAGTAGATTAGCAAAGTTAAGTGACTTGCCTCGAAAGGCAAGTGCTGTGTCTCTGACTCCAAGCCGGGCCATGCGTGTCCAGAATCCGCACCAGAACCCTCTTTCCCATCATCCGTTTGCAATATCCGAAAACGAAAAGAAGGCAGATGTGTCATCAAGGCGCACCCTTGTGCAAGCCACGCCGATCGCCCCTTGGAGCAAACACCGCGTGGTCTCCGGAAATCACAGATGGCACCTGTGTCTTGTAGGGGGAAACCAAAGACAGACACGTACGCGCATGCGGGGAGGGGGGAGACAGGTTAGGGGGCGCTTTCGAGGCTCCGCCTCCCGGCCTTTGCAAAGTTACCTGGCCCACGGGGGGCGGAGTTAGGGAGTTACGGTCTGTGCGCGCGCCGGCCCCGCCTTCGGCCTCCTCTGGCACCTGTTGGCCTGAGGGGCCGCAGCTGCCACCCAATAAAAGCCTCCCTGCGCCGCCATGGCCCCGCCCCCAATGCGGAGTCACCAATCCCCGCGTTGCCGCAGCCCTCTGCTCCGCGGCTCCTCCTTCCGCGCGCTTCTTCCGGGTGGGCTGGAGCAGGGGCCAAGGCCATGGCTCTCAGGGCGCTGCTCAGCCCTGGGGTGCTGGTGCGGACTGGGCACACCGTGCTGACCTGGGGAATCACGCTGGTGCTCTTCCTGCACGACACCGGTGAGCCGGACACCGCGCAACCCCGAGCCCACCCGATCCCTCATGGTTCCCCTCGAGTGGGTCCCACCCGGTCTCCCTTATCCTCAGATACATTGAGATTCACCCCCATTTCCGCGAGTTCCTCAAGCGTCTTTCTCACCTGTCGGTCCAGGAGCCATCCACTCTCTGTCTGACACCCAAGTTGGTCCCTAGTTAATCCCGAGATTTTCCTGTCGCCGACGTATACCATCCAAAGACCACCGGTGACCATCAAATCCGAGGACCGATTATAGGTTCCATCTCCCCTGATCCTGGGCTCCACCCCAGCCTTCCCAGAAATTGCTTCCCAACCTCTCCCTGATAAAATTAAGATATCGACTGAAGCAGGGCCGTGGTGGCGCACACCTTTAATCCCAGCACTCGGGACGCAGAGGCAGGCGGATCTCTGTGAGTTCCAGGAGAGCCTGGTCTACAGAGCAAGTTCCAGGACAACAGCCAGGGCTATGCCGAGAAACCCCGTCTCGAAAAACCAGGGGGGAGGGGAGAGGAGGGGAGAGAGAGAAGACTGGTTTTCTGCTCAACTCCCCAAATCCTAGAAGACGACTAACTGCCCAAAAGAACAGCAGAGCAGGTCTCCATCTTCCCTCGGCAGCATCTGACATCCTTTATTTCCTTCGGCAACACCCCCCCCCCCCCCCGCACAGGGTTTCCCCACCCAAATCTACAGCCCCCACCACTGAGACTCGGCCTGTATCCTCGGGCTCCCCACCAGGAATCAGCAGCTCCCCCACACCAACACCTTTGCTGCCCTCTTTCAACCAAGGGTACTAGAGCTGTCCACACACGTTCTCTCACTTCTCAGCTCTCCCACCTTCCCAGAATCCTCATTCACTGCCATGGCCTTAAACACGCTGGGGCCTTCCCAGCCTGGGCTCCGAAGGCCGCGTCTGGGCCTCCTGGTTCCCCCTGTTTGAGGGCTGACTCTTCCCACGGGAACCTTCCCTCTCCCACATTCATCAGGTAGTCCCTCCCCTCCAGCTACCCCTCCCTTGCCCTCCCTCCCCTCCTTCCCCTGCCGGCCTCACTGTCCTCTGGCCTCTGCAGAGCTTCGCCAATGGGAAGAGCAAGGGGAGCTGTCCCTGCCCCTCACCTTCCTGCTCCTGGTCCTGGGCTCCCTGCTGCTCTATCTGGCTGTGTCGCTCATGGACCCGGGCTATGTGACAGCTCAGCCCCAGTCTCAGGTAACCAGGGACCCTGAAGTCCACACCCCTCTTTGGGCCAACAGGGAAATGAGGCCTCTGTGAAGTTCTGAGCAGCTTACGTCGTGGGGCGCCCTAGTGAGGTCTCTTTCCTACCCTATGATTTTGCTCCTGCAATGAGGAAATCACCAAGGCCCAAGTGAGGGCAAGTGCCTTGCAGAGGCCACCAAGCGTCTAGTGTCCCCACTGTGTACTTACCTCCCCTCTACATGGGACGGCCTCAGGTCCCGCTCATCCAGAACCAAGTAACCCCTAAGAGAGATGCCCCAGTGCCGTCTGCCTCCCAAGGGGACCCCTCCCCCATCTTATACCCTTTGTTTCACTTTCAGGAGGAGCCTAAGGAGGAACAGGCAGCTATGGTACCTCAGGCTATCCCACTTCGGCGGTGCAGATACTGCCTGGTGCTGGTGGGTGATGCTCACACACTCTTGTGGGAGGAACTGCCTGGTGCTGGTGGGTGATGCGTGATCACACACTCTTGTGGGAGGAACTGCCTGGCTCTGTTGGGTGACGCTCACACACTCTTGTGGGAGGAACTGCCTGGCTCTGTTGGGTGACGCTCACACACTCTTGTGGGAGGAACTGGGACCCTAACACCTGGGCCTGCCTCTCCTCCAGGAAGGCCTCCCAAATTTAGGAGCTGACTGAGGGCCTTCAGCCCTCTCAGAATGCCCTGGGGGAGCCAGCACCGAGCCTGGACTCCCCTCTGTGCCCACAGCAGCCCCTGCGAGCCCGACACTGTCGCGACTGCCGCCGCTGTGTTCGCCGCTATGACCACCACTGTCCCTGGATGGAGAACTGTGTGGGTGAGCGCAACCACCCACTCTTCGTGGCCTATCTGGCGCTGCAGCTGGTGGTTCTCCTGTGGGGCCTGTATCTGGCATGGTAGGTGCACCGGAGAGTGTGGACAGAACACAGGCAGAGCCAGGATGCCCTCACTCCCCCAGCTCCTCCCTCTCTGTCCTCCAGGTCCGGCCTCCGGTTCTTCCAGCCCTGGGGGCTGTGGCTACGGTCCACGGGGCTCCTGTTTACCACCTTCCTGCTGCTTTCTTTCTTCTCGTTGGTGGTCGGCCTGCTCCTAGCCTCGCACCTCTACCTGGTGGCCAGCAACACTACTACCTGGGAGTTCATATCCTCACACCGAATTGCCTACCTCCGCCAGCGCGCCAGCAACCCCTTTGACCGAGGTCTGACTCGAAACCTGGCCCACTTCTTCTGTGGGTGGCCCTCTGGGCCCTGGGAGACCCTCTGGGCTGAAGAAGAGGAGGAAGGCAGTAGCCAGGCTGTCTAGGGTGGCTGAAGAGAAGGTGCCATTGTGCCTAAAATCCGGAGGCTGTGCCCCCAGAGACCAGCCTCGTCAGCCTGAGCTCTTTACTCCTCCTCAGAGCTCTCAGCCCTCAGCAGAGCAGCAGACAGAACCACCCCCACCCAAACAAGGAAAGGATGTAAGTTGGGGGAGGGGGACTTGACACAAAGAGAACCCACACTCCACCATGAGCCCTGGCCTGGCTACCTCGAATGTATAGTTTTATTAATTTAATACTCTATAAAGGCAAGTATTAAAAGGTAAACCGTCGTGTTGTGAGGCCTTCCAGATCAGGGCATTTGCCAGAAAGCAGAAGGGTTAGAGACACAGCTCACCCACTAACAATGAGGAAAGTCTCCAGCAGCAGCCCCACTACCTGGAACCCCACACGTTCATTAAATACTTTGGCTCTGGGCACATGGACAGTGGAGAGTTCTTACAGTCTGACAGAGGGAGGCAGGGGGGCCAGGAGAACCTCAGGACTCCAGAAACTGCTGAGACACAAAGTCAAAGTCCCGGAAGGCAGCCTGTTGGCGGGCAGTGAGGGAACTTTGGGGTGCCAGCGGGGTCAGGATTGGAGGCAGGCTGGTGAACTCCCCCTCGAAGTAGCGAAGGTCTGCAGGGCCACAGAGAGTAGGCACAAAGGGGGGCCGGACAGCGCGGGCAAGCAAGGCCTGCCAGTTGGTGGTCTGAGAACAAGGGCGGAGGGGTTTGAGAAGGGGACAGCAGACCCAGGGTCACCTCCCACCTCTCCAGGCAATGGGGACTGCTGGCTACTTACGCTGAAGAATGGCTGAACCTTGATCTCTTCTGCATCCTGCTCTCCTGCTCCTAGTCGCTTCTCTGGGCACTTCTGGAGGAGCTGGCAGGACAGGGCAGGTGTGAACTCAGGGCACGCCACTCCAGGTGCCGGCTGCCCCACAGATACCCTACTTAAGCTGTGCCCCAAGGTGGTGTCAGGGAGCGCGCAAGCCCTGGACCTTAGGACTCACCTTCTGAATGAGCTCAAGCCCCTGAACTGACAGGAAGCGGGGGTACGGTACATCTGCATTGACGATGCAGTCGAACACCTCCTCCTCTGTGTCTCCCGGGAACGGGCACTGGGAAGATGGGGACTCAGCAGGCTCTGTGGGCTACCCCGCCGTCCCCACCCCAGAGACCCACTCTAGGACTTACCTCACCCACGAGCATCTCATAGAGCAGCACACCCAGCCCCCACCAGTCCACAGCCCGAGTGTAAGCCTCCTGAGTCAGAACTTCGGGGGCCAGGAACTCTGGGGTGCCACAGAAGGTGCTCGTCCGGTCCCCAAAGCCAATCCCTGCAAACCAACATCCACACCAATGCCTGCTTAAGTGTGGCTCACTCAATACAGCCTCTGTGCTTATAAGGAGATGGCTCAGTGGGTAAGATAGGACCCACGTTTGATTCCCAGCACCCGCGTGGTGGCTTGCAGCTGCCTGTAACTCCAGTTTCAGGGTCCCCGAAGCCCTCATACAGTCTCCATAGGCATGAGGCATGCATCTGGTACACATACATGCATGCAAAAATACCCAAACATAAAAATGGGGGGTTCTTTTTTTAATTAATATTTTTCCAGCCTGATCAGTTTCCCCTCCCATTCCATGGCTGGCTGGTATACATGGAAGGCCTGTACTTTTCTGAAGGAGAGGGAGAGGGAGTGGGGGCAGGGAGGAGGGTTGGGGAGAGGAGCACACAAACTTGCTAAAAACAAAAAAATTTAAAAATCGGGGTTGCAGAGATGGCTCAGTGGTTAAGAGCACTGGCTGCTCTTCCAGAGGACCCAGGTTCAATTCCCAGCACCCACATGGCAGCTCACAACTGTCTGAACTCCAGTTCCAGTGGATCTGATACCTTCACATCAATGCACATAAAGTTAAATAAATTATTTTAAAAAAATTAAAAATCACCAGTTAGTGGTGGTACAGGGTTGGTTCAGTTCAAGACCAGCCTGGTCTACAAAGTGAGTTCCAGGACAACCAAGGCTGATATATAGAGAAACTTTGTCTTCAAAAAAAAAAAAAAATCAAGGCCCGAGATGGAGGTGTGACTCAATGGTAAAGCACTTGACTGGCATATGTGAGACTATGGGTCAAACCCCAGCAATGCCACCGGGCCAGCAGGTGGGGAGCCTGGGTACCCATGAGTGGGGGTATTTCCAGCTGGCCTCGGCAAGGCAAGCACATGTGATTCCAGGACAGGGCCCACCTTCCTTGCATAGTCCAAAGTCCGCAATCTTCAGGAAGCCCTGGGCATCCAGCAACAGGTTATCCAGTTTCAGATCCCTGACGGCAGAGTGGTGCAGGTCAAAGAGGCCGCGAGGGGCTGAGGCCCAGGGCACAACACAGCACAAGAGAAGGACCACGGCCCACCCGGGCCCACCCTAGCATCTCAGGCAGGCTACCTGTAGATGATCCTCTTCTCGTGTAGAAACTGCAGCCCCAGGACCACGCAGGCCAGGTAGAAGCTGAGGGGTGGTACGGGGAGAATTCGGGTCAGGCACTGGGAGGCACCAGAAGCACCTAGCCAGATCAGGCGTGGCTGAGACTGGACAAACATACGGTGCCTGGGCTGGATGGGCCCAAAGTCCTCCCAAGATTGCCATATGTTAATGACCTATCCTTCCTGGGCTCAACTATGGCAAGGCCACCGGCTCTAGTGGGTCAGACCTGTAATTCCTGATACTTATGAGGCAGAGGAATGGGAAGTCTGAGGCCAACCTGGAACGCAGAGGGCTGGGGATGTCGCTCCCTGGTAGAGCACTTGCCTGGTTAAGCAAAGCCCTGGGGTCAGGGAATCTCCCCGGCAGCCTGTGGGGTAACCATCATGACTTACGCCAATCAGGGTCTGAATGGCTAGAAAGATACCCCAGAGCCGGGCGTCGGTGGCGCACGCCTTTAATCCCAGCACTCGGGAGGCAGAGGCAGGCGGATCTCTGTGAGTTCGAGACCAGCCTGGACTACCAAGTGAGTTCCAGGACAGCCTCCAAAGCCACAGAGAAACCATGTCTCGAAAAACCAAAAAAAATAAATAAAAAATAAAAGATACCCCAGAACTTAAGAGGGAGTACTACTTTTGAAGACACCCCAGTTTGGTTCCTAGAATCAGGTTCCTGTATTAGGTGCTCACAACTGCCTGTCACTCCAGGAGATCTGGCACTCTCTTCTGGTCTCCAAGGGCTCCTGCGCTCATGTGCAATGGCTACGCACAGCGACACACATGTACAATCAAATGAGGACCGGAGACCTGACCCAGAGTCAGACACTAGGATCAGAGTCGATGTGCTGAGTCAAGACTGCTCTAGCCAGAGCAGGCACCGGAGCTTGGTAGGCAGCTCCAGCTGCCATCCCAAGCTGGGCGGTTTGCAAGCATGTCTCTTATCCCCCCCTGCAATAGTTTTATAAAATCGTGAGGCAGAGGCAGGTGTATCTCTGAGTTCCAGGCCAGCCTGGTCTACAGAGATACGCAAATGGAATCACCATATGCTGTAAGAGTTCCACCAAAACTCCTTCAACCCTGTGCTATTTGTCTTCTGGATACCCCCTACCCCAAGGGAGCAAGTGCTAGGTAACTGGGGAACCCACCAGGCCTGGGGCTCAGGAAAGACATCCTCGTGGATCTGCATCATAAGGTCCCCTCCAGGCAAAAACTCAGTGACAAAGCAGGCGTGGCTGGAGGTCTGGAAGCAGGCAAGGAGGGATAGCAGGAAGGGGTGTCCTGTGCGACCCACAGCCTCCAGGATCCGCTTCTCACAGTACAGGCTGCAAGGGAGGATGGGATGTATGGGATAGAACCTTTGTGGGCTACACCCTGACACCACACAGCACCTCTGGCTGGATGGGTACCTACAAACTAGACATGTGTGGTGGCGCACACCTTTAATTCCAACACTCAGGAGGCAGAGGCAGAGGCAGAGGCAGGTGGATCTCTGAGTTCCAGGCCAGCCTGGTCTACAGAGCTAGTTCTAGGACAGCCAGGGCTACACAGAGAAACCCTGTCTTTAAAAAAAAAAAGGGGGGCTGGAGAGGTGGCTCAGCGGTTAAGAGCACTGGCTACTTGTCCAAAGGACCTGGGTTCAATTCCCAGCACCCACATGGCAGCTCACAACTGTCTGTAACTCCTGTTCCAGGGGATCCAACACCCTCACACAGACATATATGCAAGCAAAACATCAATGTACATAAAATACAAATAATTTTTTAAAAAAACAATACTGCCGGGCGGTGGTGGTGCACGCTTTTAATCCCAGCACTTGGGAGGCAGAGGCAAGTGGATCTCTGTGAGTTCGAGACCAAGCCTGGTCTACTCAGCGAATACCTGGACAGGCTCCAAAACAATACAGAGAAATCCTGTCTCGAAAAAAACAAAAAACAAACAAAAAATAATAATACTGCAAAACTACTGCAGTCCTATTTACAGAAGAACAACCCAGAGTGCTAAAAATATGTGAGACCTTTCCCAGTGCCAAAAAGAGAACCGGGCCCCTGGGATCTTGAGCTGCCTTCTAGAACCCAGGCCAGCCACCCATGGGTTCCTCCAGGGTCACATACTGCTCAGTTACACACACCTGTCAATCTCGTCCCGGCCCAGCACTTCCTGCTTCTTCAATGCCTTGACAGCATAGTATTTTCCTGTTCCTTTATACTGGACCAGGAGGACCTAGAAACCAGAAAGAGTTGGGCTCCAGACGGGCAGGAGAGAGAGCCTTCACCTCCCCACCCAGCACCCCCACACCCCAGCATCTCCTAGCTAATGTGCTGAGGCTCATCCACCCGCTAACTCCGCCACATCATCCTCAACCCACACTACCTTCCCAAAGTGTCCCCTGCCCAGCACAGCCAAGCATCGGAAGTCCTGAAGTCGGGGGAGTTTCCTGCAAGAGAGAAAGGGCACAAGGGACTGAACAGGACCAAGATCAGGCTTTCCTGCTCTGGAATTTAAAAACTGCATTCGGTACATAAGGAAGGCACTGAGCAAGCCAGTTTGTGTACCCAAGGAGCCAGGGAGTGAGGTGTCAAAAAACATGTACAACGAGTAAGTGGTGGTGCACACTTCTAATCTCAGCACTCAGACCACAGGCAAGAGAATCACAAGGTCACGGTCAGCCTGGGCTACACAGTAAACTCTCCTTTAAAAAGAGTAAGTTGCCAGACGTTGGTGGAGCATGCCTTTAGTCCCAGCACTCGGGAGGCAGAGACAGGTGGATCTCTGGGAGTTTGATACCAGCATGGTCTACAAGAGCTAGT